AAAAAAAAAACTTATAATGCACAACAGCAACCAGGAGCTGAGCGAGCCCACGATCGTGGGCGACTTCAAGGTGTACAACGTGAGCGGGTCGAACTTCGAGGTGCCGAAGAGGTTCAGGCTGCTGAAGATCCTCGGCATGGGGGCGTACGGCATCGCCTGCAGCTTCCTCAACGAGGAGACGAATGAGAAGGTGTCCATTAAGAAGTGCCGCGACGTGTTCCGCGACCTCGACGACGGCAAGCGGGTGCTGCGCGAGGTGGCGATGATGCGCTTCTTTAACCATGAAAATCTGCTGCACATCATGGAAATCCTGCCGCCGATGAGGAGCTACGAGGAGTTCCGCGATGTGTACATTGTGACGCCGCTGAAGGACGTGGACATGAATGTTGTGCTGCGCTCGCGGCAGGTGCTGGAGGAGACGCATGTGCGGTACTTCGTGTACCAGATCCTTCGCGGGCTGAAGTACCTGCATAGCGCCGGGGTCGCCCACCGCGACCTGAAGCCTGCCAACCTCGTCACTGACATCTCGTGCGAGTTGAAAATCATCGACTTCGGCCTCTCGCGCACTGTGACGGTGCCGTACTATGAGCTGACGGATTACGTCATCACGCGCTGGTACCGCCCGCCGGAGTTGCTGCTGGAGAACAACTACTACAACACTGCGGTGGATATCTGGTCTGTAGGCTGCATCATGGCGGAGATGTACAACCGCAGGCCGGTGCTGCCCGGCCGCAACACGATGGATCAGCTGCGGCTCATCTGCACCCATATCGGCAAGCCGCCGCGGGAGATGGTCGAAAACGCCGAGGCGCTGGAGAAGCTGCAGGGCCTGCCGGACGGGACGTTGGACATGAGCCGGCTGGTGCCGGGCCTGACTAACCCCGACGGCATTGACTTCCTGACGAAAATGTGGGAACTCAATCCACACAAGCGGATGTCGGCGAAGGAGCTGTTGCGACATCCCTTCATGGCCTCGCTGCACGACGAGGAGGACGAGCCGGAGTGCCCACAACTCTTCTCGTGGCCGTACGAGATGCAGGGGATGAACGTGCACACCCTGCGGCGGGCGTTTTGGAAGGAGATATGCGCATATAACCCTCACCTGCGGAGCCAGATGCCCCACTCTTCTGAAACTGTTTGAACCAACGCTATGGGGAATAGAAATTGAGATATATATAAATATATATATATATATATATATCGAAGTGTACATGCGTGTATATGTGACTTTCTTTTTTGCTTCTTCTTGTTCTTCAATTGTGTGTTTAAACACGTGTTAGACCAGGCTTTGAGCCTTGCTGCGACTTTTATGGAGGAGGTGGGGCGAGAATGAATGCATGCCGTATTTGGGGGTGGGGGGATGGAGGTGTTGGTGTTGGTTGGGGGGGTGGGA